GCAGCCCAGCATTTATATCATGTGTATTAATAAATTATCTGGGTGCATGATGAAATAAAATTTAATAAATAAGCACCTTTTAATTTTAGCTTTACAAGAAATATGGTAAATGTACAGATAATTTTGCTGTTATTGTTAGGACGTATCACATATGTCACATAACTGCTGTCTTTAGTAGAACATACAAGTGTGGAATAGTTCTGTGAAAGATTACAGATAATTAACACTAGCCTTCTAGCAGTATTGTTCATGGTTTTATTTATAAAATTTCTTTGCATTTTTCTTTAAAGTGAACTCCCTAGTTTTCATATTAAAAAAATACTGAATCAGCCTCTTGCTAATATAGCAAACACAAACATAATATTGTTCAAAAGAGAAAAACACCAGAAAAAAAGTTTTTCAAGACTGTCTTGAAACTTTTTTGTATACACACACAAAAATGCACACACAGTTTTACATACTTACATACTTGAAACTTATTTTTTCAGTATAGCTTTTATAAAGCCTAAACATATACAAGATGTATGGAAATTCTAAGTTTTATAGTAATAAAGGCTGAGTTAATTTGAAGTTAATCTGTTTTTAGAAAAGCTCCTGACTAAACCTTGTAGAAATTTAAAAGGAAAAAAAAATAAAATAAAAAAAGAGTAATTCCTGAGACAGTGTTAGAGTTTATGACGAGCCTAGGCTGAGTAATATCCTGAAGCAGGCATTCTGTATTTTTCTCCCATTCTTAAATCGATTATTCTTTTGTTAGAGAAGAGGAGACCTATTTGTTCCTATGTGTATCAGCAATGATTAAGTCAACCCATGAGTCCTTTTTTAAAGCTAGGCAGAGGTTATCTTGGTTTGATTAATAAAAGCAGTGCTTGCTATTTAAAAGATTATCTGCTTCAGCTGTTTATCAGAAGGATAAGCAGAGCTATCAATTCCAGCTTTAGACAACTTGCAAATGAATAGTCAGGGTCCTCATTTTCTTCTACTAGTTTTAGCATTAACTTGATTTGGTAGAGCACAAAGAATAATACCATTTACTGCAGCAGCAGCTAATTTTAGTGAGGATTGTATCCTGCCTTAACTCTAACAAAATCTACTGTGATTTTGGCCTGAAAGCAGTTCCATTCTGCAAATTAATCTAAGGACCTGGTCTTTCTTTGAAGCACAAAAAGATATGATCTATTTCCTGAAGAACATAAACTGACAACACAAAGCTAGAGGACTTGTGGATAAGACTGGCTAGGGAGTTTTATAGCAGAAACAGAGAAGGGCAGATCAGTTCCTGGCGTGAAAAATGATAAAAGTCTTAGACACGAAAAAGAGACAAAAAAATAGTGCAGAAAAAAGGCTAGTTTAGTACAGGCAAATAAAAAAGGGGGGTGGGGGTGGGGAAGGAGTAGGCTTTTGTGCAGAGTGTAAATCATGGAGGGTGGTGAAGCTGCGAATGAGGATCCCGGATTTTCTGTGATAAAACACAGAAGACTGGAATGAGGAAAGATACCAGAATCTGGAGAGGTGAAATATGTCAACAACCAAGACTTGCAAAGATGTGAATTATGGATGAAAGAAATATTTATAGGTGTCGAAATAGTCAACAGAAATAAGTTATATTTCCACTTCTTCAATATTTATATCCATACTTCAGCCATGAGCTGTGAGCCTTTATAATTCTGTTTGGCCTGTGCACCTCTCCTTGGATATCAGCTGCACTCTTGCTGCAGCAGCTTGTTTCATGGACTGTTACATTAAAGATGCAGCACTTGTTTAGTTTTTCCAGTTTAATGGAGAATTGAGAAATGCTAGTTTGAAATTCAGGGTTTTTTTAATCAGGAAGAGTTTTATTTATTTTCTATCTTCTTTCAGCAATACCAGTGGCTGATCTTGTTTAGCCTGTGACTTGAATCATCTTGGCTTAGCTTCCAGGAAAAGATTTTCTTTTTGACAGCTTCATTTTTCTATTAGAATGAAGCTGACTTGTGAAACCTTCGTTATGGAAGATGGTGGTTTCGTTAAAGGTAGTTTCATTAAATGCTTTCAAAATCCCTGCATTAGCTTTCTGCTGGACTTGATCAATGGGCAGTCAGTCTAAGTGAAATAAACTTCAAATGAGATATTCCTAGTAGTTTCTGACAGTCCGGAGATACACTGTGGAGCCACCTTCTTACCTCTGGTTACTTCAGTGTGTTGAGGCTTGTTCTTAGATGTGAGAGGTTGAAATAAGTGGAGTGATTATGCTTAGGCAAGGCAGTATGCAATAGGATCATGAACAGTGCTCTAGCCTGTTGCAAATTCAATGTCAACCTTTGCCAGTTTTTGAGATCTTTGAGCAAAGCTGAAGTTCTGAGACAATATGGAATGTTGAAAGTGTGAATGTGGGTGGTTTTTGTAGTTGATATTGTAATGGAGAAGGTGAATTACTGAGAATGCACCCCTAAATCTCGTCAACAAGCAGTGCATCCAGGAACAGCTCATCTTCACTCGTGTGTTACCTCTGTTCCATCAGTCACTACTTGACGGGGCACTTCTTACAAAGTTATGCCTTCCTTTCCTACTATATTGATAGATATAAGGTATTTATAACTGTAGTTACCAAATAATGTTGAACTTGCGAGGCACCAATATTTCTGTGGCATTGCATTGTCCATGCTACTTGCTGTCTTGTCTTCTGCGTTATGTTATCACCTGCAGCCACGCCATGAGCTGAGCTGTCTGGTCCAACTGTCCTTTCCTGACCTCAATGTCATCTCCAGAGCTCGGATGCCGCTGACAGCTACAGCTTGTTAGCAATTGTGATGTGCTAGTTGCCTTCTGGGAGTGCATCTTCTGGTGCAGTTTCATCTGGAAAGGATTCGCTTTGTGTGCTCCAAGACTGTAAACTAAAGCGCAGTAAGTGAGGATGTTGGGGAGATTCACTTCAAAGTGCATTTGTGATCTAAAATAAATTGACAGCGTAGACACAGCCTGTACACCCTCAATTTCAGCAGTGAGGCACAGGAGAGGCTGGTACAGGCTGTACTTCTCTGCCTTCTCCTGGCTGGCAGGGTTCCTCCTATTTCCCAGGGAAGTCCCTGAGTGAGAAGAGCTGTCGTGCATGGAGGGTCAGCGAGGCACTGTGACTTCTAGGGAGCAAATGGGTGGTAGCAGATGTTTGCATCATGCCTTCCATATCCTCCTCTTTCTGAGATAACACTGGTTGTGACAGTGAGTTTGGTCTGTATATGCAAAGCACTATGCAAATATACAATCCCTGTAATATAAAATGAACATTATATTTTGCATTGTTTTTATTTTGGCATAAGCTTATCTTCTGTTGCAAAGTTAAGAACAGTGGAAATGAGCTTTAAGAGATTTTTCTTACAAAACCTTTCAGAATCATTCTGCACAGATTGAAGTAGAAAACAGAATTGGAGTTTTGTGTAGAATCAAAGCAAACAAAACTGAAGCAGGCCCAGAAGCTCACTGTGCTTCACTTGCTGCCCAAAACAGGATTGACATGGCAACATGGTGTTCTTAACTGTCTTTTTTCCCCCCAGTCTTTCTTGCAGGAGTTTCAGTGACAGAGATTTCTTGATATCTGCAGATATTTTACAGCACTAGTTCACTATCCTTGAAGTTATACCTGTTCCCCACTATGTAACCAGGATATTGCTTGTTGCAAATTAAGTCCATTACATGTTTGCTCGCCAGTCTAGATACAGAAACAATTATTCTTTGTCTCTTTCAGAAGCCTTTTATGTATTTGAAAATTTCTCAACAGGTTCTGTTAGCCCAAAGGCTTTATTTAGGGCTGCTATAATTTATCTTTTGACTTTTAGTAGAATATATTAAGAAAAGGCAATTTTCTGTCATTTTAACTTACCACTGATTGACAATAGAGTTTGCATAAAATGAATGTACCAAGGGACACCTCATGTAGCATATATTTATTATAAGAGAATGAATAGTAATCAGTCATTATGAACTTGGGCTTCTTTTAGAGAACAGAAAGGATATTTGCTCCCTCTATGAAATGAGAATTTATTGATAAAAAAAAAAAAATTGAAATAAAAGATAGATCTGGGGTGTATCTCCATTATGTGTACAAAAAGTCTCTAAAGATATTTTGTGAAGCAATGCAAAAAAATAACTCCTTTTCCTCGGAAGGAAGAAGAGTACAGGATATACTGCTATGACTGTTTATACATTTAAGTAATTCTTGAAAAATTATTCTTCAGAGAACCCATTCTAAACTTATCTAGTCAGAAGAATCATACTCACTGTTTTGGAATCGTGTTGATGTTTCAGGCTTCCCACACGGTCTTACAAAGCTTGGCTTCTTCCTTCTTAGGAAAAGTTTTATTTTTCAAGGGATACTGCTGCTAGGATATTATAAAACTACCATGAATGTTTTGTAATAACGGATAAAACATGCATACTCCCAAATATATGCATTTTCCGAGAGGAATGAAAAACGTTTTGTAACTTTGAACATTTAGTTTCACAATGCAGTGAGCGCAGGTAAGTTGTATCTTATAGCAAGAGGAATATGAAGAAACATGCTGACCCACATGGGTTTTACATGATCATTATACATTATTTCTTACGGCAGTAGAGTCCCGATGACCCAGCCAAGGCCTCAAACTCCTTTGTACCGCAGACTCTAATATGTAGGCAAAACAGAGCCGTGCCCTGCCCAGATGATCATTTTATTTGAAGTTTTGACATGACTGCAGGTAACTGAAGCAGGCGTTTGGATAAGTCAGGAAACAAGCATGTTTTGGCAGGTAGCTTAACAGTCTCGGAAGCCCCAGTTGCCAGCTATCTAGCTAATACCAGATATAGAGATATGCAGAAAGACCTCAGCTAAAAGACCTTATTAGGTTTAAATATAGTTAGGATATAGTGTACTGCTGAATAAATGAATGAACAGTTTAACAGAACAAAAAGAACAAGTTGTCTTGCTTTTGCACAGCCCAGTCCAAGAGTTAAAGGTGGGACCTAATAAATTTTTTGTTTTGTTTTAGAACGTCAAGCGTGTACATCTATGGCTGGCTCCAGCGTCCTTCCCTCCAACGTGGCTGGTATTAGCAAAGAGCTGATCGAACTGCAGCACCTCATCCAGTTCCCGGAGGAGGTTGCCAGCATTCTGACCGAGCAGGAGCAGGAGCTGTACCGGAAAGTCTTACCCATTGACTACCTCTGCTTTTTAACCAGGGATTTGGGTAATGCTGAATGTCAAAGCAAGCTGCCGTCTATTAAAGCTTCCATATCTGCTACTATTCTTTCTTCCTCAAGTGGTGAACGTAATGCTGTAGAAGATCTCGTGACAAGGTTTAATGAGGTAAGACAAAACTTTTAAAGTACTTTTCATAAGGGCTATTACCTGATTTGGGGGTTAGTTATTTCCTCAGAGCTGAATTTAGCTGTAATGACAAATTTTTAAAACATAAATTAAGATGACCAGGGGATTTAGCTAAATAACTTCCACTGAATTTAATAGGAGTTATGTGACCAATTTGCTCAGTGAGTTTGGAAAACTGCAACCTAAGTTTTTCTTGCACATTATAAAGTAAACAGGAAGAAAAAAATTACAGACTTGTATTTCTTTGTATTTATAATGACAGTATGGCGTATACTTTCAGTGACTATTATTTTGTTCAGGAGCTGGAGTTTTATTTATTTGTTTTGGATTTTTGTAGACTAAGCATGATCTTAGGAGTCAGCACAGAAGTATTATAAACTAGACGTTTCTGTATTGTGTATAATATAACTACACTAATCTGCGCTATTTATTTATTTAATCACTGTGTGTGTCTTGAATGTTGTTATACAAAGAAGTGTCATTTGGCATGACACATTTCTGTAAACCAAATCGTGAGTTCTTTACTAAGAATTTACTTTATTTTTAGTAAGGTGATCTTCTGATGAGTTTTAGTAGAAAATTGATCAAGGATTGAGAAAACTGTAGAAAAAAAATCCACCCCAAAAACCCAACCCAAAACCAAACCCTAAATAAACCCTCAGGTTTTAGCTGCAGAAAAATGGAACAATTTCTTTCCTCCCTTTTTTGTGTGAACCATATTCAGTGTTAGCACTTTCTAGATTCATAGAAGTGGAATAAAAAAGATAATCTTGACTTATGCTCTTTTAGTTTGTTATCCACTGCATTCTTACACTTTAATAAGAGATGAAAATTGTGCAGGTATCAAAAAGACAGCGCAAAATTAAGTAGATAGAGCCAAATATGTATTAACCATCAATGAACTTCCTGCTTCCTGGGCAAACAGGACTCAGTGAGTGAATATTTAGCATGTTTTGAAGTGTTCCTGTTTCTTGCCTGTTAGTGAGATTTAGGAACTAAAATAGTGTAAATATGCTGGCTTCTCTCACCTAATTCTATTATGGGAACATAAAGAAAAGTTGCAACTACAATATTCAGTCTCTAGAGAGAGCCTCAAAATTGTTTAAATTAGCTCTAGTTACTGTATTTAGGAAAACACTGTGGCTGGTGTACAGCTGGAGGGGACTCTAGCTCCCGACCCAGCCAGGGTCCTCCTTCCCATGGTGTTTCTCTTACGGTGATCACCATAGTGAGGGCAGTGGGAAGGTGGTGAAGTGGGCACGGTCTAGTACGACCTGGTGAGGCACAATGCCAGAGCAGTTTGTTAGGACATTTGCAGTGAGGTGTACAAATCAGATTGACCGTCGTGTTCTGACACTGAACAGTCACAGGACTGAAGAGCAAGTAGGTGGTGAAGAAGTCTTGTCAGAAATGACTGAGGCTATTCAATATCAATGAGAATTTTAACATTAAAGTTGCCTTCTCATAGAATCATAGAATCACTTAGGTTGGAAAATACCTTTAAGATCATCAGGTCCAACCGTTAACCTAGCAATGCCAAGTCCCCCGCTAAACTGTGTCCATAAGCACTACATCTACCCGTATCTACTACTTACTATTTTTTCAGTAGAATAGTCAACATTATCTTTTAGTGTTACAGGTTTGTGACTTTGCATTTTTTGTAATCTAGCATTACTTGTTTGGTAACGCTACAGGATAATTTTTCATATAATTTGAATTAATTCCTAAATATCCAGTGCATAGATTATATATTTAGTGCAATGGATTATTTAAAGTATAATCTGGAATAACTTTTTTTAAACATAGATGTTATATGTTTAAATGGAGTTATTGTATAATATTTACTGCTTGTAATAAATCACTATTTTGCTATGTGCTTTATCTTATGGAGGAGTATATCAGTTGCTGTAGCCAATCACAAGCGTGAACTTTCAAAATGTCTTTGTTTATAAATGGCAAGAAAATTCTTGTGCAGAGAGTCATGCTTTTGTTGGCAAAAGGCAGTGAGCACTTGCTGATTTTTTTTGGCATTGCCTATAGAAATACTGAAGTGTATTTATAATGTGGGAGCCAGAATGACTTTTAGGATGACAGGCTTCTGATACATAATGGGAAAAAAAATCATTTCATGCCATTGTTCTGTTAAATGAGCAATTATAGTATATAGAGGATTTTTCATAAAGCAATGTGCTTTTTATTAATTTTTGTGACACTTACTACATATTAATGAGGAACACCTTATAACACTTTTTTAAAATGACAGTCAATAATTGCTCTTTTGTTACACAAAGGAACTTCTTTATTTAATAGAAAAAATACTGACACTGTCATGGAAGCTTAAATTGAATGAGGGCTGCAGGGCTATTCTAAAATAAATTAATAATTAAAAATAATGAAGATTAAAATATTTTCAAATTATTAAAATATGTTTTAAAAAGTTAAAGTGAAAAGTAGGGGGAAAATTTGGTCTTACTGAGGTAAATTGTACTAGTATTATTTACTGTTTAAATTCCAGTAACTCCCAGAAACCCTGGTTCATGAATGAAGTTGCAAACTCCCATTGACTGCAGAGTGCAAGATCAAGCATCACATGGTTCCCTTATACTTTAAATATGTTTGCTGTTTACAAAACTGTTGTTTTCTAGATGTGAATGATTTAAATATTGTTACTGGTGAGATACATAGAGTATGAATATCTTCTAATCGTTTGTTTAAACCTTTCTGTTTACCATTGGTTAGTGTTGCTTAATCTGAATTACAGTATTTAGACCTCAGTGGGGTCTAAAAGGTATGGGAAAGACTTACACAGGAGAAAGCACTTATGGTGAGTGGTCAGCCTTAAGCGTTTGGCATGGAAACGTCTATGAAGAATTGCAGAACTGAATCAGAAATCAGTTGCCCTCTGCAGTAAGTAAAATGGATACTTGAAGACAATTAACGCAGCTGAATATGCAGTAAATAACTGCTGTTATTTTTCCTACTCAATTATCATTTGTGGAAAAGCATAATAGTGGGCATACTGTCTAGCACTGGATGAAGCCTGTGATGTGCATTTTCTTTTGCTGTATTACCTGGGTAAGGTGTTTTGACTTAAAGTACTGGAAATGATTCAGTGATCACATTAATGCTGATGATCCATCAGGAATACTTCCTAAAATTTCTTTTCTGTAGAAAGGCAGGATGACAGTAGCTGGAGCTTTTGCCAACTTCAGTGTTTCATTATATCTGTACCTTGTTTTAACTTCCTGAGAGTCTTGCAAGATTTCTGAAAATTACTGGATCTCTTAGTATGACAATGGAAATACATTTTTGTCAGATACCCTTGTTCTTACACAGCGTTGTGAGCCTGATGAGAGGAGCTGAAAAGTGTAAAAAGGATTAAAAAAAAAAAATCAGAAACCAAGTTAAGAAGCATATAGTGAGAAATCTGCATCACAAGTAACTTAACAGGCAAGGAGAAAAGTTGTGGTTGTGCCTCAGGCCAGAAGGACTTTGCGTTGAAGTGGGATGTGTGAGTCCGTTCCTTGATGAAGGTTGAATAGGCTTTTGGTCAGCCGGACACAGTATCTTAGTGTGACCCAGTGACAATGCAAAAAATAAGTAGTGATAGGTGGTATAAATTTCATTTGTGTGCCGTGCTGATATTTTTTTTTTTTTAATAGCTCTATTCCTGCTTTAAAGGCAAGGTAACCAACTTAAATGTTTAGAAGAGCTCCTTTGTTACTGTCTTTGTGGCAGGGTTTCCACAGCCTGCTTACACCTTGCCTGAAGAGCCACATGATTTGTTTTTAACCTGCAACGATCTGAACACAGTTGACATAATGTCAGTGTCTGCTCAGGGTGTCAGTGGACTCAGTCCTCTATAGTATGGAAGAGGCACAATTCGTTTACCTCCCGGAGCTGTGATAACCGCTCACCTTGCCCTATTTTGCATGGCTTTAGTGAGTCCTTTGACCTTAACTTCAGGGGTACAGCAAGGAACTCTACTGCAGCTGGAGATATCTTTATTTGTCACAGATACTGGATGAAACTAATAACTGAATGGCTTTTGTTTCTGATGTATGAAGATCTTAAGAAAATAAACAATGAAGATTGGAGAAATAGGAAATTATAACCTTCTAGATCCTTTTCATGTATACATGTTTTCTTTTCACTGTCAAGACTGATAGGGAAAAAAATTGTAGTGGTCTAAGTAGCGTAGAGACATGAAAGATGGATAGCACGGATTGAAGCTGCTGTCAAGCACTCCGTGAATAGTAGCACAAACATGCAACTGGCAAATCTTGTGCTGCTGAGGTTGGGAAACAGAAATTGCCTTTCTTTAAGAGAGCACGGTTATGGCTTAGACCTGACATACAGTTACTAGAGGGGATTCAGGCATTATGTATTTCCCTGTGTCTTTTCTTGTCATGGGTTTCCAAGTATCAGTTTATTCCCTACTGTGTTAAGCAAGGTGGCTGCCATGACAAGGAGCTTGAACACCCGATGACTTGTTTCAAAAATATGTTGTGAGAAAGGTCAGTCATGAATGATCTGCTTGAATCCCACAAAATGGTTTGGAATACTTTCTTGGATTGTGTTTCATTTGTATTTTGAAAGTTTTGGGTTAGTCCAGTTCTCAAGTCAATACAGAAATTCACAGGGAAATAAAATATTCACAGACAAATAAGAATCTTATAATCTGCTAATGTTGCAGTTTGTCTGCAGGATTTACTGTCTCTGGTGGAGTTTTTGGGCAGATAGAAGTTCATATGACATATAGCCCAGTCACTAAAGATTTGTAGTATTTACATGTATAGACATGTTTTTTCAGACTTCCCTTCCCTTCCCATATAGAAAGACGATAGTCATGGTGGAGATTGCCACTGAAGTTTAAATAACTTCTATAATGCTGCTATAGAAAGCCTGTGTTTAAGAAATAGTTCATAAAACTAAAGTTAAATTAAAAAATAATCAAAGAATTAGAGGACTTTTCAACA